CTTTATTAATTTCATTACCTATAATTTGCTTAAAACAAGACTCAATGCAGTGTATCATAGTCAATAAGAAGCTAAAAGAACTAGAAAGAACACTACATTTAGATTAGAGGTTACATACTTCCTCTTAGTATTTTATCTACTTCTCAAAGAATGATGAAGTTTAGATTTTATTTCTGGAGAACGCAAGATGATGTTTTAGCATTTTAATTCACCTCAGAGTTATTAGGAATCTTCAAGGTTCCAAAATATTCATTACATAACAAGATTGCATAGGGAGTTAAGAAAAGTTTATGTAAGATCTAATTATTAACTCMAGTCAAACAGACTCCTTCCTCACTTCCTTCCAAAAACTATATTCAGCTGCAGAAAGACCCATCAGGACATTTCCATACATCTTAAGTGGAGAAATGGGGAGAGGAAGAGTCTTCACTTCTTCAGCATTTAAGATGTTGAAGAACAAAGGGTGAGAGAAAAATCAGAACAAATGGATTTAGTATGAGCTGAAATCTCACAAATCCTATTAATCTGGTTGTCTCCAGACTTCATTGGCACTACTTGCATGATAAGCAGCAGAAATCTTCTGTGACACTTGGGGAGTTATCTTTGGCTTGCTTTCATAGATTTTTGAGAGAAAAAATGTTGACTGAAATCTCACACCTGTGCCAAAACTAACTTTCAGGATGTTCCATTTGAATCAATCCAGCTGGAAAATCACCACAAAAGAGGATCTTATTGAAACTCTGAAGTCTTTATCTGATAGGAGCTTTCTTAATAATTTTTTTTGAAATGAGACACTGAACTTGATGAGATACAGGATACTTTTTTTGTCTAATGAAATATAGAATAATGCACAATCCTACACAATCTAATAGATGCTCAGGTAAAAAATTCTTATGCAAAAATGCTTCCTACAAGATATAATGCTTAGAAAATGTAAATCAAAATTATATTAATTAAATCAAAATTATATTAATTATCCTATAGTTTTGATAACAGAAACACCAAACTTTCTTTCCAGAGGTAATCCCTAGTTAGGTAAAATTAGACATTGCTGGAAAATAGTCAAGCACAAAAATGAAAAGCTATGCCTTTGTTGCTCCACATTTGGAAAGCTGATGACTTCAGTGTCAAACCCAACAGCTCTGAAAGCTGTGAATGGGTAGTTACAATAGGGCACATAGCAAATTATCTAGGGGACCATTCTTACAGCTTTTCAGTACAGCACCTTTCTGTGGTTCTACAGCTCGGAAAAACATGAAGACAGAAGTGAATGACTTGTGTTTCTTGAGAAGTGTTTTTAAACCTATTGGGAATTACTCAAACTGAGGTTTTAAAGTAATAATAGGCAACACTGAGAGCAAGATAGTAGAGACCTAGGAAGTACTCCATAAATGGTAGGTTACTTTCACAAAGCAAAGTGCATCAGTTTTATATCTCAGAACACTAAACAGTGACACCAAAGCCCCCAAACTGTAGAAAAAGAAGTCAGCGTAGCAATTTTTCAGCACACAAACTAATAAAGAAAGAAACACTTGGTGTTCAAAATTTTTACAGTCTTGCTGAGCACACTTTAGTTCCATTTTTGATCATCCCATAAACTGAAGAGCATGTTCAGCTCATGTTTGATGGGCTGAGTTCCATAGGCCGAATTCTAAATGCAAGAACATATTTCCACATCCTAACACAATACAGTCAATGCAACCCAACTGTGCAAACARTATTTCAATGCCTCAAGGTTTTTGTTTCTGTATAAAATGCCTGCAAGAGGACAGCAAAACAGGAAGTTTTCATGGAGATGGATTCTGAATAGAAGAGGATACACAAAATCATAATGAGTTGTTACATGCAGTATTAGTTCTTCTTTATGCTTCRAAGTTAATATGTAAACTTATTCTCAAAGCAACTGTTGTGATTCCCTGAATGTATCTCTGCCTGTGAGGAAATAATTATAACTTGAATAGTAGCAGCAAACCCTAAGAAACCATTAATGGTGTTTCACCAGAGGAAAAAGGGTTTGAATCTGCTTTTCCAGCATTAGAGGCACCACTGCTTTTCTTCAGTGCAGCAACCACAGTCAAAAGCATAAAGAGGTGCCATGTTTAGAGCACTGTCATTCAATAATTTCCTGATTTTTTTAAACCCAGTTTTTGCTCTTATAAAGAAAGTGATTCTGTAAAGAAAGACAGTGCTCCTTCCATTTAACAGCTCTATGTGCATACCAGAAATCTTTGCCAACTACTGTTCAGTGTAATTAAATAATTAAAAAATAGAACCATTCTGACTATTGACTAGCTGTTTTGTTTTGAGTCCAGCAAAAGAAGACAGACAGCCAACAGGATAAACAGATGAGMACACAGAATATCCCCAACAAGGCCACTGCTGCCTGGGTGAAATAGTGCAGGGATCAGTACAGGGAGCATGCASTGTAACCCAATTAATTTTCTATTAAAGGACATGCACAAAACAAGCAGCAGCTGCACACAAGTCCTGTTTCATTCATCTCCTAGAATCTAAATTTTAGAAGTGTGGCTGCAGAAGCATGGAACATTTAAGGGAAAAATGCTGGATTTCCCAGTATATCAGATATGTCACATTTCTTCACRGAGGCAAGTTTCTTCAGGGAGGCAAGGTGGCAGTGACGCTGCTCCTCAATGGGAAAGTTTATTCTTCCTACAACTGCATTGCTGTATGCTCTCTTTAGATCCAGGTACGCTTTTCCTCCTGTACTCCCTGTTTTCATCGCTCTCCCTACACAGAAGGATAATAAAATTCTGTGTGTTCCCTGTGGCGTTGCTTCCCACRCATGAAGAACCCCTGATCCATGGGCCTGATTAGGCAAAGTGGTGTGTCTGGTTTCGATGAGGCACAAGCTACGGAATCCTCAGAAACCAGGCTGAAACAGCACTGAAGCCAGACTTGTTTCAGGAAGGTGTCTGTTTTGAATTATGCTTCCTATTAGTGGTAGATTTAAAAATTAGGGAACTATGAGTAAATCTGGAACTTAACAAGGCTTAAAATAGGCCTGGGTCACAAATCTTGATGACTGTGTGACAGGCTGGTCTTCAGTGCAACAACAAGGAGGTCTTTAACAAAAAAAGTAAGTAGAAAAAGCCAGAGTGACTAGAGTAAGGGGGATGGGAAATAATAAAGGTAAGTTATTTCTTCCCATCTTATGTTCTGAAACACAGGAAAAGTTTACACAAATGGTAAACACATGGAAAAAATTACCAGGAGAATGATCTCAAAACAAAGGCTACAACAGAGTTCAAGTGACATATTTCTGGAACAGAAATGGATGGTGCTATAAAGTCAACACAAGAAAGCAGGATTACGATTAACCTGAAAAAGGGCAAGCAAATTAGACTACAAGCCATTTTCCTATTCCTTATGGCAGCTTCCCAAGRCTGCACATCTGAAACGTGCAATTTAACATAAGCCCAAAGAGCCTTCCTTGCCAACTACAGAAAAATTAATCAAACACATTCTTGTACCAGATGAGTAGTAGGTATTTATACAAATAAAGAGGCATGATCTATTTATACACATATGCACCCAGATGCCTGTGCATGTTTATTATAGTTAAATAGAAATTAAATAACTAACATAAAAACCATTACACAACATTAYACAGGTCAGGTAGTTCACTGCTTGAGTTTCAGCCAGGCTGGCCATAAAGTCAGGTAATAAAGCGGCAAGGCTTTGAAAACGCAGATGTATTTGAAATGAGTTGCTTCATGTGATTAAAAAAGATGCAAGAGGTCAGGAGAACAATATAACACCATATCTACATTGCAGACCAAGCAGTACTACGAAGCTGTTTAATACCTGACTGATACAGCTGTACTACCAGCTGTGCAACGAGTGTGAATATCATTACACTGGTATAAAGCTAAAATTTCATAAATGTAACTTTTCGTTTTTCCTACACTGGTATGATATACAGATGTGCTAACATAACCACAGCTCCAACACAAACACTATTTGCAGCAATAACATTGATACAGCCAAAACCATCCAGGTCACAGAAACACATGCTGAAAGTTTACTTTGACTGTTTCTACACTAAATATATTACATCACCGATGTGCTCCAAATACATACAACTAGGGATTTGTGAGGAAAACATACCAAAGTTGCCCCATAAGCAAAACCCCAGCAAAGTCGGCCCTTCTAGCAGCCCAGCTGTGTTGCTTAGAACAGCATTTCTTTTTGCYTCTGCCCACACACCTGTTCCAACAAACACCAATAGGAACGGGCCCGTTCCCACTACACTCATTTCCTCAAGTTCCATGGCTTGATTTTGCCAGCTGTAACCACTGGGACACTGGCAGAGGCGTAAGACTGGGCTGCAGTCTGCCATCCTAAACCCTGCACTGATAATGACAGAGGGCCCAGACAAACAAGGTTAGGWCGCTGTTCTGAAAAGAGACTATCGTGAAGCAATTAAATTCCCAAAGTTGCACCCTCCACACCCACTGGCCCAGCCCCGCTGAGGTCGGACGGGGAACACCAGCCCTAGGCTTGGTGGGCGGGACAATCGGTGKGACAGTCACAGAGCGGCCTCCGGGCACTCTTATCCAGCAGCCAACTCTTTGTGGCCTTGGGGACGGAGACGCGAACAGGGGACCGAACGGAGCACCATGTTTGGTGCTGGCGGGAGGGACAGCCCGCACGATGCCCGCACGATGCCCTCACGATGCCCTCACGCAGGATGGCCGTGGCAGCGCCCTCACGRCGGGTTATAAACATGGCGGGGAGAAGGGATGAAGCTCATGCGCGACTCCAGGGCGCGGGGGGAGCGAGGCGGATGGGGAAGGAGGTGGAAAAGACCGCCCCTGTAGCTTGAAGCCACGCCTAATACAACGAGACCCCGCCCCACGGTTCGAAGCACCGCCTTCGTGGCAGGAAACCCCGCCCGGGTGCTGCCAAACCCCGCCCCCGCGATGCAAAGCCCCGTCCCCCGCGGCTCCCGGCCGTGCCGCTGCCGCCGGCGGGGCGTGGCCTCCGCTTCCTCCCCGCCGGGGCCGGGGCCGGGGCCGGGGCCGGACCGAGCCGTGGAGCCCCGCCCGCCGGCTGTCCCCGGCCGCCCCCGCCGTCCGCACTATGTCCGACGGTCCTGGCGTCCCCGAGGACGTGTGCAGCCTCCTGGCAGGTGAGGGCAGGAGRGAGGGCTTCGTTCCCGGGGGGCGGGAGCAGGGGAGGCGGAGGGGGGCGGGCCGGTGGGGGTGTGACGGGCCGGGGGAGCCGGGGTTAGCGGGGACAGTAGCCCCCGGAGCGACGGCCCCGGCGGAGCGCTCCCCGAGGGGCACTGGGCGATCGCTTCCAGCGCACGGGTTCGGGGGTTCTTTCCCTCCCGTCCCCCTAGTTCCTCCTTCCCGGCTACTTCCTCTCCCGTGCCCGTCCGTGGGGACCCGCAGCGCTCCGGCTCGCTTCCCTGTAAGGAGGAAGGAGCGGGCTGGCCCCCGCTCCCGGCTGGGCGCCCGCAGCCCCGTCCGCACCCGGGAGCGGACACCTTCCCATTGCCAGGTGCCCACGGGGTGAGGTGTTCGGGRCTCCGAACTCCGTGCCGGGTGTGTGACCGCCGGGTGACCGCCGAGCCATCCGGGGGAAGTCTCTCCCTTCGGGGTGTGCCGGCAGGGCCGACTGCCCGCATCAGCTGAAAAAAAGTAACGAACTTCCCCGCTGAACAGCTGAGAAGCGCACGACGGGGTTACTGAATTGCTGGCGTGTTGKCATATCAGTCACACACCTCTGACCGTGACTGTCCACGCTCTCAAGATGCGTTGGAGCGTAGGAATGGGATAATTTCTCACCGTGAAAGGTTATAGTGCTAGTACAGAATTCTGTATATGGGTGGTTGTCTTTTACCTTCAGGAACTCATATTTAGTCAAAAAATAGTTTTGTTGTTGTTAATTAAAATAAATTGTATACTTGAAGGTTGGCTTTTTTGGTATCTTTATCGAAAAGTTTGCTATTTTGAAACCATTTTAATTTCAGCGGGACTCACTCTTTTGAGAACTTCTGTTTGTGCTACAGGAACTTGTATAGCTCTGACTTTGCCATTCAAATTACCCATGCTTTTTGAAATCTTCCTTCTGAGGCTCAGCACTCACTTACATGGCTGGACACCAACTAGAGTCTAGTGCAGCTCATCACCTTCACAAAGTATTCTGTATTTTAACAATTCGACTGTAAGAGCTAAAGCTTGAAACATACTGCTCTCACCACATCTCATCTGCCAACTGTCTTAAGTGTTTCCTAACTGCAGTTTCTAACTATGTTACTTGCAGATCATACCAGCTGTAGTTAAAATTTGCATGGAAGGCTACCAGGAAAAAAAAAGATAAAGAAAAGCTTCTCATAATTTCATATAATGGAGTAAATTCTTAATTATTTAGGATATAATAGATTAATATAATAATAATATAGATATATAATATAATAATTAATTAGGATATAATAAACATTACCCTTAGAGAGCCTTTCTAGATCTTGGTATTTTCTGTGGCAAAACTCAATTCTGTAACTCATGGTCAGATGAGGAGTGTCTGTGTTTGTTTTGATCCTAGTTTCACTGAGTGACGTTCATCTTCAAACTCTTAAATGTTTTGAGTGCTTCAAGAATTTTTTTGGAGAAGGAGGATGTGATGCGGATGGGATCATTTGAGACTGTGCTTTCTTTCTCAGTCATGGTACCTGATTTACTCTACTTGTCTTTCCTTCTCCCCATCTTTATCCAGTCTGCCATGGAAAGAGAGACACAAAAGTTTTTATTTTGAGGTGAAACTGGAAACAGCTAYTTTTCCTCAAGAGGGTTGTGTATATATACTTTCAGAGTCACTATGATCAGCAGCCTAAATTTTATACAGGTGTCTAATATTTATACAGTGTGTACAGCTTCAGCTTTTCTGGAAAAAAATGCAATGGTTTCTTTAGTGCTCTCTATAGAACTGAAGTTAAGAAGACAATGGCATGATTTACCAATGATCTTTAAATCTTTTCTTTATTATCTCCAGTAGTAACTAATAGTCTGCAACTTYTGTTACTTTCAGTAGGGTTATACAATGTTAAAATTAAATAACCTGCTTATTTTTGAAAAATAAAATATGGCATTACTTTTTACAGGTTGTGTTAAGCTCTCTTGGCTTTTAAGGTTATCACTCAAGTGCATGAAAGTTAGAAATGAGAGTAATTCAGGCTGTATGAGCAATTCTTTCACTTATATGTGTAGGATCTGGTAATCTTTTATGTAGGCTTCTGATTTTTTTTACTCAGACTATTTGTATAGTGAAGATATATGGTAATGGAGGAGGGAAGGGAGCTCTGTGATACCTTTACTATTCATTAAGAAACTCTTACACAATACAAGGAGCACAGTGAGTAGATAGTTATTAATTTCTGYATGCTCTTCTTTGAGGGTGCTTCTTAATGTATTATTTTAATGGCTCACAGTTATTGATCCAGCACCTCTTTCAGATGAGGGAATATTGTTTTCCCATTGGTAAAATTAGTGTAATAAACAAGATGTGATTGGGGTTGCAAAATATAATCAATGGTGGAACAGAACTAGAATTCAAATTCACCTGCCTCCATTCTGTGTTGCTTTCTCTGGAAGATAATATGAGTTGGATGTCTATATTCAGTGGCCATTGCAGGTKCCAGGCACTTCTTCATATCAGGGTCAGTTGAGAACATGGAGCTAATGGCTGGTGACAAGCACCGTATTTTAGTCTGATGTTCACATAGCAGAGAGGCTGCCACAGGTGCAAAACCTCATAAATACTGTATTCTGTTGCTCTTCCTCCTTTTGTTGGCCCTTTTGCCTATGATTTCCAACTTCTGCAACAAGTGGAGGAATGATCATATGGATTTCCCTTGATTGATGGTTGGAGTACGTCCACCCACTATGCTGAACAAGTAGGGGTCCTACTGGAAAACATACTAAGTGCTCCTACAGTTAAACATGGTGATAATGGGAATAAACACACCAGGGGATGAATTAAAGTTGCACAGGAAACTTTCTGACTTGTGAGTGCTTTACTTTGAACCTAAACAATATTATATCTTTAACATAAAAACAAATTCTGTCACACATGCTGGCAGGGTCATTATAGTTGCATATCAGTGGCGCTGAAATGTTCCAGGCAGAAGCACAGCTTGAGCTCAGGGCTAACTGCAGTAGTTGGAAACAGGAGGAAGCTGTTTCTGTAAAGYTGAAGGGGAAAGGTCAGTGTGGCAATAGGCTTATTGCAGAGGATTATTGGGATTGCACAATCCCATCCTGTCTTCTCTGACTTGTTCAAGTGGTGGGCGGGAAACACTGGGAGACAGAAACAAGGTCCTCTGGTCATGAGTTGAACTCCTGGTAGGAGGAGAAAGTAAGTTTGTTTTTGTCTTATCTCTTTACACCTGGGAGGTGTATGGCAGTATATGTAATTACCTCATTCCTTACCTATGTCCCTGCACTTCCAGATGATGCTTGAGAATTTAGTGAAGGAAGCCCACTCTTGTCTTCATTTGGAAGCTTTTGTCTTCTTTTGGAAAGGTATCCTCTGTTGTGTTTATGTGATATTTTTGTGGGTGTTCGTCCAAGTGGAGTATTACTTTTTCTTTTCGTCGCCTCAAATTATTGCTGGTTACATGGCATCCATGGTTGGAGGCCTGCTCATTTATATTTTTCCTTCATCTTTTATGCATATTCGATAATTTTTGGCTTGTTCATAGCTGARAAAGAATTTGGAGGCTGCTTCTTCCCCAAAGGCCTATTTCTTCTGTAACGTAAAACAGATTGGTTGCTTCAGTCATCTTGATTGGAAAAATTTCTTGAGTTTTTTTCAGTAATAAGGATTTAGTTGGAGGTAAGACTTCTTTATTTTTTTCAGTTTTTGATGGTGTCATGATCATTAGATATGTGTATCATTTATATCTTTACCCCTGTTCATGACACCTGTGACCATAGTATGGATGCTTCTGCTTTGTTGTTCAATTTTCCTTTCACACTTGGAATTATTTCTTGTTTGAATCTTATGTATTCATATTTTAAAGGTTACAAATATTTTTCCTATGAAAATAGAATAAAATTTTCTSTAGTTTATATGGAACCTGATGTCCTGTCCTAATAACCATTTTCCTTGTTCTACTGAACAAAACCCAAAAATTAAATAGAARCCAATGTTCTTGCCCTAAAGATCATTTATAYCCAGGTATTTATTAYTCAGTTTGTTTAAACACTCAGTTATTGTCCAAATCACCTTTTTCTGTGTGATTCCTCTGATTTTTTATTTTTTCAAAATAATACTGTTTACCTACTTGTTCAGTTTCATCTTGGAAACAGCTTGCAGAGAAGTGCAAGGCAAGAAAACTGCAAGACATGGGATGTAGTGCATGAGTTGCTCCCCTTTWATTTTTGGTCTACAGTGATTATATTTAACCCTGATCCCCAACTGTCCTTTTTCATCTTCYATGTCAGCTGTTTCTGGACTTGCTCCTTACACACCTGTCATAGAAAAAGCCTCCTAGGTATGGCGTAGCTTTTCTTTATTGCTTGGTTCAAATTTAAAAGCATTACTCTGTTTTTAAAGYATTATTTCCATGTTTCCAAGGATTAAAAAAATGCCAGTTCTTGCTGAAGAATCCATCTGTACAAGATAAACTAGGGTGATTATTGTAGACATCTTTTAAGTAGACATATATTTACAACTTTGGTAGTACGTGTGTATTTCAATAGTAATGGAACAAGAATAGAAACAGTGAGGTGAAAAAAATGCACAGAGGGACTCCTGGTAAGAAATAACCTCCAGTGATTTGAAACATAGTTCAATTGTCTCTGCCATAAATTTGGGAATAAGTGTCATATATGGGTGATAAAAATGGCATAGGCTATTTTTTATATACTCATTATTCACTTAGTTTGTCTTTTTCAATTAACATGGAGTCTATCTTTCTCATCTGACTGGGTTTACGTTTCTTTCATAATCATATGTCAACAAACCACAATAGACACACCATAATGTGGCATACAGTGTAAATCTTTAGGTTAATCCTTAACATTTTTTATTATAGTTCATTTGGAATCACTTTGTAACTTGATCATGATTTGTACTGGTGTGGTTTTTCTTCATTATATGCTTAATATGTTACATCTTCATCTT